TGGAGAAGAATCGCAAAATTTTTGGGAACAGCCTGACTTGACTCTGCTTGAAGCTTTCTCCCCCTGCAATGAGTGTGATTCCTGTAGGCCGCGCCTACTATAAAAACCGAATGCCCCCTTGATGTAAAAGACATCGACTTGAATATAATTTGGTTGTTCAGATGCCTAAGTGATGGTGATCATGCGTTAACGTCTTCGAGTACGTGTGGAGCTGAACCCAGTACACCGAAACGGATTCGTCACACTACAGACATATCACCTGTTCGAGAGCACCCCGAACACCGAGACCGAACTCTGACAGACGTACGTACTATATTCATTTTTTATATGGTCATTGCTTCAGCCATAATACCCAAAGTTATGTTTCAAAGGCTTAATAAAGAAGAAAATTGAAAATTTGCTTGAAGGTGTTTGATATTATTAATATTTATAGTAACGATTAACGGATAAAGAATAGAGCATTTAGCGTTGATCGCTCCCCTCTTGGGATGCGGCTACGCATTCTACTTCCATTTGTACATTCGTAGTGGCTTTGAATGCGATGTGGCCTATACAATGACTTGCGGGGGCCAGCCGATGTACAAGTCAGTGTTTTTATCCTCCCAGACAAGTCTGGTACCAATTAACCGACCCCGGAGGGATGGAAGGCTTGGTTGGCCCGGGCGACGACCAGGATTTGATCCCAGACCGCTAGGGGCAAGTAGCGAAGCTAGCCACTTTACCACAACCGCCCTTATGGTAGCAAAAGCAACATTACTCTCAAATAAGTAGTAATAAAAATTATTTAGGTGGCAACTCCTCGAGATCGGCTTGTAACGGAGACATCTCAAGAGGAATTCCCTTCGTTGAACGAAATCGAAGATGATGTTATCGTTGACGTTTGTGAACTTGAGGAAGAGGATGAGGACGACGACGATGACGAAGATGAGGACGATGGCGAAACCGGTCGATAACGTCAGCTTTCCAACAAAGCACTGCTTATGTGTATGAGCATATATTTTTTGACTATCTCAGGTCGTGAATATGAATAATCACGGAAAATCAGCGTGAGCTCTGAATCTGCTTCTATTCAAAACCTACCACTTTCACCCGCTCTAACTGCCCTACCGTACCCGTACAATGCTACCGTAACCACTGCATCTTGAATGTTTTGCTCGTTATTGACCCAGCATTGTTCTTTCTTTCAACTTCGACAAAAACTTTATGAAGTCGATAATAAATCGATGAAACCATCGAAATTCTTCAAATGCCGTCTTGGCCTGTCGTTTTCTTGGTAAATGGAGACTGGACCTCCTTATGTCACGTGTGCTGAATAAAGCCCACTTGAGAAACTTGCTAGATGGAACCCGCAAATTTTTACTTGATTATCTGTTGATTATTACTGCACTCTCTTCAGATTTCTATTATATATGTTACTGCGACAGATGTTCAGATTTTCTACTGTCAATCTGTACTACTAGTCGATTGGGGAACTGTGACATGATTCATGTAAGCGACATGTGTCGCACTATGTTAACCCACCCTTTAATTTGTGCCGATTGATCGGTTTGAACATTCTGGCGCTGAGATCAGATATACTAACTAGTCATGAAAAGCCGATGATTCTCTTTTATGCTTTTCTTTTCGGAAAACCTCTAGATCGATTTCATTACAACGAGTACAGTTCACGTGTATATTTAGAATGGTAGAAGAATTCATTATTGGTAAACTCATATTTTTATGAAAATATTGCTATGAGATTCGGTCATATTGTCGATTATTTCGCTAAGTGACGTAAAGAGTTTTATCTTGTTTTACGTTTTCACGGTTTACATTGATGGTATCGGTGGTTCAGTGGTAGAATGCTCGCCTGCCACGCGGGCGGCCCGGGTTCGATTCCCGGCCCGATGCACCATATGCGATCGTGTGGTTCACGGTACCTCAAACTTGGGTAATTAAACTTTAATAACTATTTTTCTAACATAAATGCAATATAAACATAATGTATAGAAACCAAGACATATAGCATCAACTGCAGGAGTTTATATAAGGAGCAAAGTATGAGCCACTCGAGGCGCGAGACAAAATAATGCATGATAAACTGTGTGAAGCAAATGGAGCCGTCAAAGCATTTTCTCTTATACAAGACAAAAGTACATTTTGTAGCAGAGCTATTCGAAGCGTAAGACTATGTGACTAAATGGAGCCGTCAAAGCATTTTCTCTCATACGAGACAATACAAAGTCTCATTTCGTAGCAGTACTATCTGCTATACTCCCCAGGCGACTACGAGCTCTTAATCATCTTCATGCGATGAGTCTGCGTGTCGACTACGTTGGAATTTTTCGTGTTCTCGTCGTGTTGACTCACTACGCTGGGTGCTGTTGTGCGGTCTGTCGGCCTCGATATGATTCAGTGCGTCGAGCGCTTTGCGAATCTGTCATCGTATTGGTTACGTCCCTTTCTGTCGTCTGGTAGTGAATGCTCCGCTGTGTAGAGGTTGGCCGAAATTTTTTCCACTTGACTTGTCATTGAATCAACTTTTCTTTGTAGCTTATTCATGTATTGCGAGAGCATTTCTTTGAGGTCATCACACTTAGCACTCTGTGCGACATTTGTTTCAGTTATATCAGATACCTTTGCGTTATCTTTCATTGCTTCCTCTAATCTCGTGATGCGTTTTTCGAGACCTTCGATCTTGGCGATCGTCGAGATTGTATTTTTGGAGATGGAGCGCAGCATTCCCGTGACGTCTTGATGATTTCGTTCTTTCGTATCTCTTGCTGAAGCGACTTGTTTCTCTATTGTTTTGATGGAGTTGGCGATTTGCATCATTCCATTGGACTGTTGAAGAGCTTCTGCGGTTTCCTTGAGAAGTTTACTTCCTTGTAGGAGAAAGATTCTCAACGGACTCGATCCGGAGCGTGCCCTCTTCGGTGATAGTGGTTCATTGACGATGACAGATTGACGCTTCGATGATGGGGGCTCGATGTCCCTGGCTTTGACAACTGTAGATTGTACTCTTTTGGTTGACTCCATCTTCTTTTGTAGACGTGCTGAAGAGAAAGAGTATTGGATATAACAGAAGCAGATGACGAAAAGCGTGCGGAAACGAGGCGAAGGTGTATAGTAATAAGACGAAGAATTAGCGAAGCTATAGGTTTTTCGTTGGACTTTTTTCTTGCGAGTGCATGCAACGGTATGTCGAATAGAGGATTGTTCGCAAGCATCTTGTAGCTAGCCGTATGGGAAGCCAAAGGAGACGTATTGTGAAGCAAAGAATTCGTAGTCCATAGGACCAAACAAATAGATATCCTGCTATTAGTGCTACTGTTAAAGCGGCCGCAGCGATTACGACTTCCTTGTACCAATGGCTGAGAATTTCAAAAATGTGTTTGAAGTCTGGAAGAGTAAGTTCATTGTACAAGCTGCTTTCTCCCTTAAGAATTTTTCTCGCTGAATCATGGATAGTTTGCGTCCATTGTAGTACCCCTGTTATTTCGAAGGTGTTCCTTAAGGTACCGCATGACACTTGGCATACTTTTTTGATCTTAGCTTCTGTATGATGAAATCTGAGATTAGACTCGATTCCGCCTTTGTGGCACGGAACTGTGAAGAACTCTTTGTCGCATTCCACGGTAGCCATTGTCGCTTCTTCTGTTGTGGTACAACTAACTTTTGCTACCGCTCCGCGAAGACAGTTGTAACATCCTGTAGCGATGGTGTTTGGTATCCTACAGTCGGCATTCGAAACTACTGTTTCACTTTCGTCAAATTGGTCGTCCAGTTGAACGATCACCTCTGCAGTGACGAATGTTGGTATGACAGCGAGGACCGAAGAGCCCCTTGAATCGCTTTTCTTCAGTGTGATCCAGGGACGCTCTATGGGCAGACGATTTTCAACTTCTTCAGTGAAGATACTTGCGATATTAGGGTCGTAGCAAGCGCAATTAATTTTGTTCTCGGCAGGCTGGCAAACGCAGTTGTCGTTGATTGTGCAATGAAGGTCTCTAGCTGCTTTCAGGGATCCACATAGTAGATTGGGTTTTACGTCTTTGGTCCAGATTGCTATCTCTTCTCCATTCGAAACGAATGTAGCTGACAATACTGGATTTGGCGGTGTTGAGATCGACGTAAATGTGATCCGCATTTTTCCGACATTTTGAGGGATCGTTGGTTTCAGTGAGACAGACATTCTTTTCTCGCTTCGTGGGGTGGTGACGGAAATTTGGATCCTAACTTCTTCTTCCCAATGAGGACACTTGAACAATTCATATACTCGCCTGTCTAGGGGTACATTGAATATGCGATAAAACAAGCATCCGCTGCTCAGGTAGAAGCATCCACATCCTGGGCCACCGCAGCTTTCAACGCAGTATGTCTTGCCAGGGAAGATGTTTCCTTTATGGAGCTCTGGGATTCTCGCTGTGTGATGAATTTGTTCGCATTTCTTCTTCACACATGATCCCGTATGGGCGCACCTTTTCGAGTCAATGACTTCCTGTTTCGTATGTCGTGTAAACATAATGTTCTCTTTGACACACTTTAAGTGAAGACCTCTCCATTTAAAGCGTAGTTCTTGTATCATGGTCTTATTGCTGATAAGGCGAATGCAGGCTTCCTGATTGAAGGTATTCAGTTTGAGAACTTCGTTGAGTGTGATCTTACAGAGTTGTCCTCCTTTGGGTGATAACGAACAAGATTTCGTATGATGAGTGAAGACATTGATTTCTTGGCAAGCTTCTGTTTGGCAGACTATTCCCACTATTGTTATTGCGATAATGGGTGTATCCAAGATTGAACTGACATCATATCTGGTTCGGTTCTCTGCGTACCTTCTTCTTTTACCTTCTTTCAGCAGCGTGAATAGACAACGTAAAAGTGAAGGGCACATCATGCAGAGTGAGAAGAGAATCCTGATAGTTATATGGCATGGTCTTGTTATAAAGCGAAGGCTTTGATATGCCAAGTAGAGCGACATGGTGGTCAAATAGATGACTATGGTCGCTGCTGCTATAGCAGCTTTCGGAGAGCAGTGGGGGTTGAGTACGTTAGCGGTGCATAGCCAGCAGTTGATTTTCTGGCAAAATGGAGCTGGGGCACATGTTTTTTCAATCATGAGCACTTCTTTTCCGTCGGTAGTTTTCCATCTAACTGTGTATTGATGAAGGGTTAATTCTGGTTCGATATTCAAATTTTCCTGTAACGGCGGATTTTCTTTTATGGAGCACAGGTTTTCGATGCACAGTTCGTATCTTTTTACGTTCGTGGAAGTTAGTTCGACCCCTTCATCCGTGCATTTTATGCTAGCATTGTGCGGATTTTGAAAGTGTCCAGCCGCCGTAGGTAGCAGGAGTTGAAAAACACTCATGATGAGGAGGCTAGTTGTTAGCGACGTCATACTAATTGTGGATTGATCTTGATGTGAAGAGTCTCCAAATGTTTTCTTTCGAGGCCGAAAATCGTAACGTGGAGATGGTGTAGTGATTCCGTCGCTTTCATGCTCACCGTTTGTGGTCATTTTCTTACTATCATTTCCGGGGTCTTCCATATTTTTGGTCTTGTGTGCATGATCGTCGTCGTCTATTTCCAATGGTATAAGGAGATTCACTGGGCGTTTTATCTTGCGGCCGTTCGGAAGTCTGACTTCGGCTTCGCGAATCACGTTATTGTGGGAAATTTTCACATCAGTAATTCTTCCGATCTTCCATGTGTTTCTGGGGAGGATAGGATCAGCTATAAGGACTACCTTGTCTTTTGATGGTGTTAATTTTTGTCCTGTGTTGCCGTCATGGTTAATTTATGACTTTCTCGCAGGCTGCTTAAGTAGTACTTATTCCATATTGTCCAAAAGCGTTCCGTGTTCCTATAACTAGATTTGAGAGCAGCTTCTGTTTGCTTGCGAGTCCGGAGTAAGATAAGCTCTTCTGAGGGTAAGTATGAGGAGTCTCCGTTTTCTTCACTCTCCGTTTTGAATGGGTAGGTGACGATGATATCCCGCTGAATAAAATCGACTGGTCGTAATATTGGAATTTCTTCAAAATTCTCTTCTTGATACGTGAGTGGACGGCTGTTTAGGCTCGCTTCTATTTCAATGAGAAGTGTTTCGAGTTCTTCTCGAGTCATTTGAGTTCCACTCATGACCTTATACAGGGAGTATTTGATGGATTTGATCAGCCGTTCATAAAAAGCTCCCTGCCACGGAGCATACGGAGTGATCGTTTTCCATGTAATCCCTTTTGTGGCCATTGTTTTAGCTAGCATCGGGTCGTCAATGACAGGAAGGACTGCATTGCGAAGAATTTCGTCGCCAAGAAGAAAATATTGTCCATTATCTGAGATGATGCTTTTTGGAACCCCTCGCCTTGCGAAGAAGCGTCGTAATGAGTGGAGCAGGTGAGTAGTCGTCATGTCGATGACTAGTTCGATATGAATTAGTCGAGTGGTTTCACACGTGATGATAATTCCGTAGAATTTCTTCACGACGTCATCATTCTTTGCTGTTATAGGACCGAAGTAGTCAATTCCCACATTTTCGAACGGTCGAGTTCTTGTTACGCGTTCTTTTGGTAAATCGTCCATGTCAGGATATCGATATGGAAGATTGTTCATTTTTTGGCATGGTATGCAGTATTTTATGATCTTTTTCACTTGCTGGCGCAATTTTGGTATCCAGTATTTTTGGCGAACGTTGGCCATAGTATGCCCAGTCCCACAGTGTAAGTCCGTGTGTGCGTCTTCAATGATCATTTTGGCTAAATTTGTTTTGGATGCAATGAGAACACGTTGTCTAGATTCTCGCAAAAGACGTGCGTTGTTCAGCCGTACGCGACACCTTAGGATGTTATTTTCATCAAGTTGAGGATTCAGCTGTTTGAGAACCTTCAAATGTGAGATGAAAAATTCGTCTTTTGGTGGTTCTTGATGATTACCGCAAGAGCTTTTTCTCTTTCGATTGCGTTGATGAAAGGTGAGTGTTCCACAGGACATAATTCTGGGACACTCCTTTCAATGCGAGCACGTGATTTCGGGTTGAGCTTCCTTATCGTCATCCTTATAAAATGAAGAACGTTAGCTACTGTTGTCTGGCACGATGATAGTTTGTTATGTCGTTTCCAGTCTAATAATTCTGACGGTTGACTTTCTGCTGATGGAGAGGTCCTTACAGGGGTTGAGCTGCAATCGTTGTTGCCATTTTCTTCTGATTCATTTGGGAGGCGCATAAGTCGTACTTTGTTAGGCCACTCATCAGTTGGTGTAGTAATGAATGTTGGTCCGGTCCACCAAATGTGATTTTCGAACTCATCTTTTGTTACTCCTCTTGTACCGCAATCGGCCGGGTTATCACAAGTGGGTACATAACCGAACGAAACTGGTATTGGGATGCTCTTGACGATGTCTCGAATTTCCCTTGTTCTGTTTCGTACTAAGACTCCTGCGGTCCTGTCAGACTGTATCTTAGAAATCCAGCTGAGAGTAACTTCGGAATCCGAAAGTATTATTATATTTTCGATTGTCGACTTTGATCTGATAGCATTATAAATGGATAGGGCTAGCCTGGTTGCCATTGTCAACGCATTTAGTTCCAGTTTAGGGATGGTAGAGTTTTCCTTAATAGCTGGTAGCTTGGACTTTCCAGCTACTAGATGAGCCACGTTATTGCTCACCAGGTATGCGCATGTTGCCATAGCTTGTGCGCTTGCGTCTGCGAAAACAACTAAACGTGCAGATTGGCCGATTTCTGCTATTTTCCTTGGTGTTCTGCGCTGAAAACCTTCTGCATTTCTGACGATTTCATTCCATTGTTGTTGGTGATTGATGGAGAGGTTTGTATCCCATTCGTACCCTTCTTTCCATAGTTGTTGCAGAAACTGCTTTCCTTTCAGGGTTAACGGTGTTAGCCAACCATGTGGGTCATAGACTGCAGCGACTTGCTCTGATATTGATCGTTTCGTGCACGTCTTTTTGGGTGGGTATGTGCAGGTCAGAGTAAGCTCGTCTTTTTCTGTGTTCCATGGTATCCCTAGGACCTTCTGGAGCAGGTTAGAACTGCGATCTTCCTGATTTATTCGAGCGTTTACTTCGCAACTATTCGAGCAGAATTCGCGGAGATTCATGTTCATTTCTGCAAACATTTTCTTGGAGTTTGCGTAGAGATCGAGAGCTTCTGTTTCTGATGAGGCTGTGAGTATAACGTTGTCGACGTACGTATTCTCCAATATGTGTTTTGCCAGATCTGTGTTAGGTGAGTAGTTCAGGAGATGGTGTCGTAGAGTTCCGGCTAGAAGAAACGGGGAACAATTAAGACCAAATGTCACTCTCGTGAATCTGTAAGTGACGAGGTTCTCGGGAGAAAGAGGCTGGTCGATATGTCGAACCCATAAAAATCGAGTCGCATCTCTGTCGTCTTCTTGAAGTCGGACTTGTAAAAATGCCTTCTCCACATCACTGAGGATTGCTATGTCTCCAACTCGAAAGCGATGAAGAAGGTCACATAGGAGAGGAAGCATTACTGGTCCCTGATTCAGCATGTCATTGAGGGAAGGGCAATTTTTATGATGAGCGGATGCGTCGAAGACCACGCGCAATTTTGTGGTATTCTTGTGTGGTGTCAAAATGGCTTGGTGTGCCAGATAGTGGATGATTCTTCCTCCATGTTCTGTTAATTCATCCACTTCCTCAATGATTTGACTTTCGAGCTGATTCATCATTGTATCGTGGTACTGTTGAAGAAGTACCGGATTGTTTTTGAGTTTCTCCATTGTATTGTGGAGTCTCTTCATGGCGATTCGTTTGTTGTCAGGGAGATTTTCTGCACCTTCTTTCCATGGTAGTTGAACATAGTAACCATCTTCTTTCTTTTGTATGGTGTCAGTGAATTTTTTCCATATTTTTTCATCCATTTCTGCTTGTTCTTGGCCCTTAGGTCCAAGAAATTCTTGCACTCCCGATGCTTCGAAAGTACAAAATCGTTCCCAATCGTTTCGAGCGTTTACTTCGTATCCTGCCTCTAGCATAAGTACATCGGAAGTGTGATCATTTTTTTCTAGAGACCTTTCCTCTTCTTCTTTTTCCTTCTGCTCTTGTTTTCTACCTGTTACCAGATAGCCTAGTTTGGAGGGAACCACTTGCACACCTGATGGTAGCGTTTGCTGAATGCTGAATCCTTTTTCTAGAAGACTGAAAAGGTCAGCACAACCCAGTAACACCTGCGGTTCAACGTCGGTTGTTGACATGTCAATTGAAAGCCTGATGTTATTTTCAAAAAGATATTCTCTATCGGCTTTGGTAAGTTTACACTGTTGCCGAGTTTCCATGATTCGTGGGATGCGAGTGACTCTGTAGATATGAGGGGCTCCGTTTTGATCCCACATTTGGATGGACGTAACTCCACATTTTTTCATCTGCTTCATGCAACCGAACGTCGTTATTGTTAGCTCTTCAGAGCTCATGTCTTTCAGTTGGAGTCGATCGGCTAGCTCCTCTTTTATAAACGAGCGGTCCGCGCCGGTATCGAGCAGGACGTAGATTGATTCCAATGATTGCGTCGCAGGATTTAGGACCTGTGCTCGACCTGTTAGGATCATTGTGTCGTTGCTCCCTTTTATGGTAGTGAAATTGAGGGTGGTTGAAGTGGTCTCTTTATCTTCGTTAATGGAAGAGGCAAGATTTATTCTTGCTTGTGGGATTTTCTTTGCTGTTGACTGAGGTTTCAGTGGAGGAGCGTTCAACGGGGGCTTGGTGGAGCTCTGTTGCGGATTTTTCAAATTGACAGCCTTCATACAGATGGAGGTATGATGGCCGTGTTTGCTGCAAATTGTGCAGTTTCCTTTCGTACACTGTGGAGTGGCGTGGTTTCTACTTCCGCAATTGTGACAGAGTTTGTTTTTCTTCATAATCTCCAAACGTTCTTCTCTTGATGGGAATGCGTCACAATTTTTTGCGGGGTGGCCACTCTTGTTACAGTAAAAACAGGGAACATCTCCCTTCGACTGCTTTCTTATTGACGAGTTTGGTCTGTATTCCTTCTTGAAGTGCGAGTTGGCGAACTCGTTGATGTTACCGTAATGCTTTTCAACTTGTTTCGAAATTCTTATTTCGGCTTCAATGTAGTCTTTCGCAGTCGCCAACAGCGTTCGTGTGTCCCACGTTTCGGTAGACAGTTGCTGTTTTTGGCGTAATATGTGTCTCTGAATTGGTTCAGAGAATTTTCCCAAAAGAAGCTTTTGGAAGAAACTGTTATCGATGTGTTCTCCTTTCAGCTGTAACTGACTTGTCAGAGAGAAAAGCTGTTCATAGAGCTTTTGCTGATCCTCAAGTCGATCGCTCCGAGCGCGCAACATTTGAGCGTTTCGCAAAAGCTGATCGACGAGAGATTGAGTATTTCCGTACTTCTCCTTTAAATGGGCGACCACCAAAGGGTAAGTTTGACGAGAGATTTCAAATTGTTTGATGTTCTCTTTGGCCTCCCCTTGAAGTGCGTCCAGAAGATAATTCATTTTGTAGAGATCGTCATTCCGGGAATGTACGGAATGTTCGAAAGCTCCCCAGAATGTTTCCCATTCCCATATTTTCCCTGTGAATTTCGGGATAGGGATAGGCGCGAGTTTGATTTTTGCCATTTTCGTGCTTTGAAAGTCTGATGTGCACTCTTCTGCTTCTTGCAGTTCCTCGTAGAGGACGTTGAGTGTAGTGACGGCTGTGCGTGCTTTTTGAAGGAGTTCTTGTGCCGCTTCTGAGTTGGATTTCACCTTCTGAAGGATTTCGTCCAATCTGGGTACGTCAGGACTGAGATCATCGGCAGTCTTGACGTATTTATCTAGAGCGCAGTCGGCGTTATTGATTTCAGACTGGATTATTGTTTTTGCTTTGCGGATTTTTTGCTGAAGGACTTTACTGTATTCTCGTCGTTGGGCTTCGTTTGTCGGCAGTTCGATTCTAGTTTTCAGAACATCATCACATTCTTGTAACACCACAGAGAGACGAGAACTGGCTTTGGTAACGATTCCCTGACGAGAAGACAGTGAAGACGTCATCGCTGCGCTTAGAAGTGTCGGCTATTTGGATGACAATGGTAGCGATACGGTAGACTCAAAGCGATTTGGAAGTCGTAGTCGCACAGCAAGCGAAAGCAGAGAGCGTGCAGGAAGCGAAGAGGTGCGTGCTGTGATAACCCACGTCGTCTGGGATGATGTTTCGTTGAGCTTCTTTTCGTTGAGCTTCTTCCTTGTATTGCGAGGCTTATATCGACACGTGGCTTAAGGCCGATGCACCATATGCGATCGTGTGGTTCACGGTACCTCAAACTTGGGTAATTAAACTTTAATAACTATTTTTCTAACATAAATGCAATATAAACATAATGTATAGAAACCAAGACATATAGCATCAACTGCAGGAGTTTATATAAGGAGCAAAGTATGAGCCACTCGAGGCGCGAGACAAAACAATGCATGATAAACTGTGTGAGCAAATGGAGCCGTCAAAGCATTTTCTCTTATACAAGACAAAAGTACATTTTGTAGCAGAGCTATTCGAAGCGTAAGACTATGTGACTAAATGGAGCCGTCAAAGCATTTTCTCTTATACAAGACAAAAGTACATTTTGTAGCAGAGCTATTCGAAGCGTAAGACTATGTGACTAAATGGAGCCGTCAAAGCATTTTCTCTCATACGAGACAATACAAAGTCTCATTTCGTAGCAGTACTATCTGCTATAATCCAATCCGAAAAAGTAAATACGCACATAAACTAGACGATTCTCTATCGAATGCTTACTAGAACTGCCCAAATTCCAGTATAAAACACGCTCGTTGGGTTGTCGTCCCGCCGAAAGTACAACTTTTTCGCTACATTGGCACTATTTCAACGGCTGTATATCCTTTTAAGGGCGATTATGTACTAAAGTAAGAGCAGATTTGAAATCACTGCTTTTCTCTTTCTAAGAAAAGTGATTGATTAGCGTTTCTCAACTTTAAAGGTTACATGTTTATAAATTTAACCCTGAAGAGTCCGTTAACGCAATGTTGAATGGTGTACACCTCCCTGTAAATGCGCACGGACACTTTCAGAATTCTCTCGATTGTTCCTGAATTGAGGTTGTTTGTCCAAGGAGCCGTAGTTGAAGCGCGCGCAACAACTAGACCCTTTCTCGGATGCGCCGTGTACCTCACATCCCTTCAGATTCGGGGTCTTACTTGAAAGATGAAATATCTCTTGGAAAGCGTGCGAAATTCAGATTCTTTAACTTGTGTGGTGATAAAACACTGAAGTAACTAAGAATTACCGGACGCCTCAGAATCACGAAAATTTTGTGTGGGTGAAATATCATTTTCATTGGAAATCCTCTGGCCTGGCATCGACTCATCCTTGATATTTGTCTTCCGACGGTGATGATCCCACTGCGAGGATTTTGGGATTGATCTCTTCCACCGCGACTCATTACCATACTGTACTCCTCCTCAAACGGCAATGATGGATAGTGAATCAAAGAGTTCATAGTAGGTCGACCTTGAACATGTTGTGTTTGGAGCTGATTCGGGCTCATGGCGTGTGGGATACGAACTCTACATTTTCCGTCCTTGCACTATTCAGAGAATGTCCCAGTTCTGTATCGCTCTGTTGCATCAAATTGCTCTGAAAAAAGGCTTCACGGTCTATCCAGATCCCATTTCAATAGCACCGGTAGAGCATCGAGGTTGCCACTCATGGAACCGTTGGAGTTTTGATCATCTTTAAATGAAAAAGTCAACGCTTAGTAGAGTGAAGCGCCGGTGCACCGTGAGTTGAGAGAGCGTGCCCTCGCTCATCTTCTGGCTAATCCTTGGTGTAGCATGACTTGCGGAACATTCCAAGCAGTACTCGTAAAAATTATGGGCACGAAGACCTTTTCGCGAAATCGATGTAATATCCACAACAAGTAGCGAGACAACGAGCTGGATGGTTGGCTGAAATTGCAAAGGTGGATGCTACGTAAGCAAACAAACATGTTGCGGATTTTTCGGATCACAAAAATTTTCTAGCATCAAATGTAATTTGTTGCAAGGCTTATAGACCAACCCAGTGAAAGCTGAGCAGTTGCACAAGCACCTTTTGAGAAATCATGTTGCCCACTCGGAATGTAGTGATGCCTGTTGAGCCACCCAACAAGTGTGTCTCTGATAATTTTTTCCAAGACCTTCACCGCCACTGAGGTCATGCTGTTGGGTCGGACGTTACTCACTAATCGGGTGCAGGGAATATTGGGAGTAGCGGTAACCAGCGCTTCTTTCCACAGAGATGGAACTAATACGATTAGCAAAGATATTAAAAACCATGGTTAGATGTTTGTAGAGACTTCTAGCCCAACTCTTGTATAGTAATTGAGGGATTCCATCAGATGTAGCAGAATTTGTGGATTTCAGACACAACAATTCATCTCAACACGTCACTAGGGATTATAGTGATACCAGTTTAGCTCCGCACACTACCGCGTGCATGACACGGAAGGGCTCCGTAAAGCTGGCCAGCCGGAGGAGCGTTAGGTTCCGCCGCTAAACAATAACTTGCTTCGTGAAATGCGTTAGCTGGCCTTCTACAGAATGCCCATTTTTAACCAACCGTCTGATACGCGCGGTGGAGTGCGGAGCTAAAGTGGTGTCTGTAAACAACCACCATTCATTGGATGTCAGGATGATTTAGCGGTCGAATAATATTGATTGCAATAGAAATAGCACATTATCGTATATCGCTAAACATCCATCATACATTCTTAGGGATTTTGGGAATTTAGCGGTCGAACGGTATTTCATGTTGATGACAACAACGAGATGATACTGAAGTGAAATGCGTTATCTAGAACCACGGTTTCAAGCGATCCATATGTTTCCAAATACCGTAATTATCTGCCCTTATCACCTCCTGTACCCCACCGAACATGTTCCCGTCCCACCCTGTACATCACTTCTTGGAACCAACGCCCCACTGCTGCTGGGACGCGCGCTATGAATTTCGTGAAATTTGCGTTTCAGCGCCTCTTATCAACCCTTATCAGCCCTTATCACTTTCTGTACCCCCACCGAACATGTTCCCGTCCCACGCTGTACATCACTTCTTGGAACCAACGCCCCACCACTGCTGGGACACGCGCTATGAATATCATGAAATTGGCGTTTTGGCGCCTCTTATCAGATCTTATCAGTCGGTATCACTTTCTAAACCCCACCAAATATGTTCCCGTCCCACGCTGTACATCACTTCTTGGAACCAACGCCCCACCACTGCTGGGACACGCGCTATGAATATCATGAAATTGGCGTTTTGGCGCCTCTTATCAGATCTTATCAGTCGGTATCACTTTATAAACCCCACCAAATATGTTGCCGTCCCACCCCCTACACCATACTCAAAATACAGCGTTCCATGCCTGCAGCGAAGCGCGCTATGAATTTCGTGACAGACGGACGTACGTACAGACACACACAGACAGACATACTTAGCGAATTATATATAGTAGGATGCTTCAGCGGTTCTCTAGGGGAAACTAGGTGGCTCACAGCACCAGTCAAATAAGCATCACTTTGAGGCGTGAATACACTCGAGAAGTGTCGAGCTAGAATGTCGGCCTTTTTGGAGTCGAAATAATGCCAGACTCATTCATATCAGCGAAGAGAGTTTTTTGTTCGCTCGTAAATCTTCGTACGTAGGCACCTAGACACTGGCTTACGGGGGGCAATAAAAAAAAAGACATTTTGCCAACGTCGCACCTCAGCATTTTTTCGTCGCAGAAAGTGTCGTCGCTGACGGGAGTTTACAGCAAAATATTCCTCAAATGCCCCTCTATTAATAGACGCAAGCCCTCCTCCACTGCCCTCACCTTTTCAGAATATGACGTCATCTGCCAACGTGGCCGAGCTCGCGCGGACCTACAGTGAATGCTCTAGCTCAAAGCTCTTACTTAATTTCTTGAATCGATTCATCGTTGGATAGTTTCCTAGGAAAATTAGCTCCCTAATTGAACAAGGAACACCACCACCCCTTCCAAATTTGTGATCAAATCTTAAAGTGATATAGGTTAAACCCGCGCTCACAATTTCGGAATCAGAATAAACTTTAATCAGAAATATTCTCACTCAATCAAGTTTCAGTAACCACAAAATTTTGACTTCAGGCTGATAATAAATAATGGCACTGATGCAACTTATTGGACAGACTCCGTGCGTTAAAAAAACATTACATGCTTGCGATTTGCTTATGGCTGCTTGCCTGTTTCCCGAATGAGGTACCAAGGATTTTAAGGATACGAGATTATTCACATTTTTTAGCGCATCCCGATAGACGACCCATCTCTTTTGACCCATCACTACTCCGCCTTTTAGCTTTCTGTCAAAGCTCGAAATCACGCTTTTGTTCTTCCAACGCCATACCTTTACGTACAAAACCTTCAGAGAAATTAGAAGAGCGCAGAAGACAGGGCTCTGTTGAACATAGGTTACGCAAGCAACTTCCATTCAGAATCGTAGTGGCATCCAAGTGTGATTTGACCTGTACAGTGAGTGGTGGACTGGTCGATGTATCAGGCACTATATCTTGCCAGACAAGTCTGGTATTATTTCACAGAAACTGGTTAGGCTCAGAAGGAATCCGATATAGGGCTCGATATCCGAGCTCGTCATATTCAGCACCACTTGCCGCTAATATTTCACCACAACAAGGAGATGGTTGGCGAATATCTTGGCTATTCATATTCAGTTTAATTTGAATTTTGAACTTGAGATAGCTCGAGCGAGCTGAAATAACGAGAGATGCTCCATGTATCATTTCATTCAGCAGTTGTTGTGCAGTTGTTTACTGACAGTTTGGACCAATTAGCAATAAATACACCAGAGAACATTTATGAATATAGTTATTAGTGTGTTTTGGTGTTTCCTTGTGTTTAATCAACTGAGAATTTATAAGACAACTTCGAAATTAACGGTCAGCGATTTTCGGAGTCTTTCATCCAAATGCTTTCTACTAACAAGATTTATCGTACTTTCTGTTTATCCTGGGGTGACCG